CTTCGGGTCGAGCGCATGGGGGCCGACGTCGACGGCGAGTCCGGCCGCCTGGCCGCGCCCATGGCCAAGTCGCTCGAGGCGATCGCGCTGCGCCTGGCCTCCTTCAGGCTCGAGGCCGTGCCGTGGCGGCCTGCGATGACGATCCTCGGGCGCTTCGCTAGGCTCTTCGAGTTCCGAAGGCCCCTCTTCAGCGTGCTCAACGAGGTGTGGAGGCTGAGCTCGCTGCGCGGCAGCGCGAGGTTGTCGTCGGCGATGGTCGAGGAGCTGCTGACCGCCATGTTGGTGATGCCGATGGCCGCGACCTCGCTGCGGGCCAAGATCGAGGGCACGGCCACGGTCTCGGACGCGCCCGAGTTCGGCGGGGGCGCGCGCGCGTCGGCGGGCCCCCGAGCCGAGGCGGAGGCCAGCCTCGACGGCGCTCCGACGCTGGACGAGCAGATGCACCTGGGGGCTCGCCTGCTGCAGCTGCTCGCCGAGCCCTCAGAGCCCTGGACGGTCGCCAACTCCTTCATCCTGCGGGCCGCGGTTCTTAGGGCGCCAAAGGTGCTCCTCGTCGGCCTGTTCGACGGGATTGGGGGCTTGGCGCTTGGCGGTGGCCTTCTCACGCTTGCCCGTGCGGGCCATGGGCTACGTCGCGGCGGAGACGGACGCCAAGGCGCGCAGGGTGGCGCGCCTGCGCTGGCCAGGCGCGATCGACTGGGGCGACGTGGCGCGCGTGGCGGCCGCTGTCGTGAACGAGCTGCGGGACGCCTACTGCGACGAGGTCGACCTCTGCGCGGCGGCCGCGGGCAGCCCCTGTCAGGACCCGGCCAGGCAGAACGCGTCGGGCGCGGGCTTGCGCGGCGCGAAGTCCGGCTTGTTCTGCGAGGTGCCCCGCTTGCTGGAGCTCCTCAAGGCGGCGTTCGGTCACAAGCCGGAGTGGTTCGTCGAGAACGTCGCGACCATGACGGCGGACAACCGGGCTGAGATCAGCAGAGCCCTCGGCGTCGAGCCCTTCCTGGTGCGCTCGTCCGTCCTCGTGCCCTGCCGACGTCCCAGGCTGTACTGGATGAGCTAGGAGCCGCGCGTCGCTGCCCCGCCCACCGTGGTCGTGAGGGACGGGTTCCGCGAGGTTCGCGCGCCGAGGGGCCCCCTCTGCGAGTTGGCCTGGCAGGGCGAGGGAGCCCGCTGGCTGGGTGCTCCAGGCCTGTTCCCAACGCTAGAACGCTGCAGGCCGCTGCCGAAGTTCCCCTCGGCCCCGAGGGGGCTACAGCAGACCTCGGCGGCGGCGCGCGCTCGGTGGGGGGCGGGCTCGTTCCGATATCACGTTGCCCTGTGCGAGGAGAAAAGCTTGCTGCTGGACAGCGCTGCGGGCTCCGTTCCTCGCTTCCCCTCCAGCTCGGAAAAGGGAGAATATGCTCGGCTTCGATGTGAACTACACGTCCGTTGCCACGAAGGGCTCGAACGAGCGCGACTGCAGCGACGCATGGGCTTTCCTCCTGAGCAACAGCTTCAGCGCCCATGTCGTCGAGTGGCTGGCGCAGGCGGCGCTTCTGGAGGCGAAGACGCTGAGCAGGCCACTGGGGGTGCAGGAGCTGGTGCACTTTGGTTGGCGCCGACCGTCGCGGGACGCCATCGGGCGGTGCGAGAGCGAGCCGGGGGGCCCAGACACGTTGGCCTCGCGACGGTTGGTGCTGCACTACCTGGCCCGAGCGGAGAAGGGCGGAACCAACGTGCGCCTGGACTGCGGCCTCCCCTACAAGCCGCGCGGGTGGCCGCGGTCAAGCCTCGACCCGTTCGCGCGGCGGTGGCGCGGGGTGCTGAGCATGGCGTGGCCTGCAGCCAAGAGCGCCCGCATAAACGTCCAAGAGTTGCACGCGGCGGCGGCGGCGCTGCGGTGGCGCGCCCGCAAGGCGAGTCGGCATGGCAGCAGGTGGCTCCACTTCGTCGACAGCCGCGTCGTCGCGGCGATCGTGGCGAAGGGCATGAGCAGCAGCTGCCGCCTCCAGCCCGCGTTTGCCAGGTGGGCCGCGGTCGCAGTGGCCGCCGACATGCGCCAAGTCGTCGGCTACGTCGTCAGAGGACAACCCCGCCGACGAGCCATCGAGGAGGTTGCGGCGTGGCTCGCGGCTCAGGACCGCCGCGCCCAGGCCGCCCAAGCTGTTGCCCCCGCGCCGCGGGGGCCCCCGCCGCGCGCGCTCGGCTGAGGCAGCGGCGCCCTGCGGGCCCAGTCGCTGTTCCTGCTCCGCGTGGGCGCCGCGACGAGGCATCGGCACTGCGCCGCGGTCGACCGCCTGCTGGAGCACTACGGCGTCGCGGGGGGCGGCGTCGAGGCGCTGGGCCAGGTAGGCGAGGGCGCCGACGCGCTCGTCTCAGGGTACCTGGAGGTCTTCTGGGCCTCGGGCGCGGGCATCGCGGCGGCGAACCACGCGGTGGCGGGCGCGTGCTTCTTCAGCCCGCGCCTTGGGCGCTGGTGGGATCTGAGCTGGGCGCTGCTGAAGACATGGCGGAAGAGGGGGCCCGCGGCACGCGCGCTCCCCTTCGCGCCCGAGATCGTCGGGGCCATGGCTGGCCTAGCGCTGGAGGCAGGCTGCGTCGACGTCGCGTGTCTCCTGATGGTTGCTGTCGAGGGCCTGCTGCGCGGCGGCGAAGCCTTCGCGCTGTGCAGGGGCGACGTGGCTTTCCGTGGCCAGCGCGCCGCCCTCCGCGTCGCCTCGTCCAAGGGCTCGGCGGGGCGCGACGCTGCGGAGGCGGTCGTCATCAAGGCGCCGATCGCCCTCCAGCTGCTGCGGCTCGTCGCACACGGCCTGGGCGCGGGGGCAGGCTCAGCGGGCGGTCGCCGCGCCAGATGCGGGCGGCCCTCGCAGCGCCGGTGGGGGGCCTCGGCTTCCAGTGCCCGCTCAGCTGGCACAGCTGCCGCCGTGGCGGCGCGTCGGAGTGCTTCCTGCGGACCAAGAGTATGGAGCTCACCTTGGTCCGCGGGCGTTGGGCCAGCCGCCTCGCAGCCAGTATATATGTGGAGGACGCGCTGGCCGACCTCGCGCGGGTCCAGCGCGGTGACGCGCAGGCGACGCTCGTCCGACAGGGGCTCCAGTCGCTGCGCGACTTCTCTGAACTGTCCTAGTGCAGTATCTATTCTTATCTGTGTGTAAAAGACGTTCGCATTTTTCAGCGCCCCCTTCTCACCCGCCCCGCCTCTCGAAGTCCTCTTCCTGATGCGCACCATGGGCAAGCCAGCGTTGGCCTGTGGGGTGCCGCGGCGTCCCTGTGGGGGTCCTGGTCCTGGGCCGTCGCGGGGCGTTTTGGTGGCCCCTCGCTCTCGGCTTGGCGCAGCCGCTTCGGGGTCGGCACAGGGACGCCGCGGTCGCAGGTGTTGGGAGTCCTGAGCGGGGCGCAGGCTGTAGGCAAAAAGGTGGCGGCCTTTTTTCGCGCAGGTCTGGCCTCAGAGGTCCTCTTCCTGTCTCGCCCATGGGGAAACCAACGGTGGCTTGTGGGGTGCCACGTCGTTCCTGGGGGCCCTGGTTCGTCGCGGGCCGTTTCGGCGGCCCCCAGTTCCGGGCGAGGCGCAGCTGTTGCGGGATCGTGCTAGGGACGTCGTGGCTTCAGGTGTTGGTGGTGTTTTGAAAGGGTCCAGGTTGCATGCGAGAGGTTGAGACCTTTTTCTCACCCGCCCCACCTCTCGGAGTCCTCTCGCAGGCGAGAGGCGGCGGTCTTCTCCCGACCCACCCTCGACGGCACTCGTCCCGATCACGCCGAGAGAGGGTGCGGGTTGCAGGGCGAGGCGGAACGGTCAGGAGGATAAGTTTTCACACCTAAAGTAGGTCCGGCCTAACGGCCAATAGGGTGGGGTGTGGAACAACGGGGGGGGTGCTTCAGAGCGGCCCGCTGGGCCAACGTGAGGGGAAATTGGGTTGAACTCGGCGTCCCCCCAGCGTTTCGGGAGAGGGCGGCATGCGGTCAGGGGCCGCCCTGGGGGCCCGCCGACGCAGTCGGCTGGGCCCCCCTCCCCGATTCGGGCCGGATGCTCGGACGAAGCGCAGCGTTCCCTGGGGCCGCGGTGCTTGTCTTCGGAAACGTTACTGGGGGGTTAGAGGGGCATCGGAGCGTAGTGACCAGTGGCGAGGGAGCGCTTGCCCAAAAAGCGTGTGTGTGTATATATACACATATACATATACATATATGGGAGATCCCAAACCCCGGACCCCGGGCAGCGACCCCCCTTGTATATGCGTGGTTCCCTCCCCTGGCCGTCCCCAGGGGCTCCCAGACGGCCCCCAAACGGACCAGGACAGCTTGGAGACGGGCCCAGGAGGCCCCCCAGATGGTCCAAGAAGGCCACGAGACGCCCAAAGATCGCTCCAAGACGCCCACGATGATCCCAAAACGGCTTAAATGGCATCCAAAACGCGCCAAGAGGCCTACAAGAGGCGTCCCAAGAGGGCTCCAAGAGGGCTCCGAGAGGCAAAATTCATTGATTGTTCAATGGTTTTTGAAAGTTTTTGGGATTCTCGCCTTTTCGGCGGCCGGACGCTCCAAGACCGCTCAAGAGGCCCCAAAGACCGCCCTAAGACGGCCTGAGACGCTCCCAAGACGGTCCAAGACAACCCCAAGACGATCCAAGAGGCCCCCATGACGGCACAAGAGGCCCCCAAGACGGCTCCAAGAAGGGGCACAAACGCGGGATCCGAACGGACTTTTCGGGCCCTCGGCCCCAAGAGGTCCCAGGAGGCCCCAAGAGGGCCCCAGGAGGCCCCCAGGACGCCCCAAGAGACCCCCAAGAAGCTGCCAAGAGGCTCCCGAGAGGCAGCAAAAAAACATCCAAACGGCCCCCAACAGGCACCGAAACTGGTTTCAAGAGGCTTCGGACAGGACATTGGCTCGCCCTGGCGCCCGGGAATTCCAGTAGCACCAGGTGTAGATATCCAGCTGCCCGCGGCAAGTCCCGCCACCGCGCCCGCCCAGCTGTCTCGGTGGTCCATGTGCGAGGGAACACGGATGTCCTACCCTGTGACGCGTTGTATCTCCAGGCTTGATGGTGCACGACGCCCGGGCGCCCAGGGCGGCTGCCCCGAGGGGGCATGGGAGTACCGGGGCTCATTTTCTTTCTGCTTTTACAAGGTTTCCGCGTCCTGGGACTCGGAGGCCGCCGCCTCCGACCCCCCGTGGGAGGACGGGGCGGCCGGGGAGGTCCAAAATAGTCCAGGAGGGCCTCCAGAGGCTCCCAAGACCGCCCAAGCGGGCCCCGAGTCGCCGAAAGACCACTCCGGGACGCCCAAGATAGGCCCAAGACGGCCCGAGAGGCCCCCCGAGGCACTCCACGACGCTTCAAGACGCCTCTCCAGAGCGCTTCAAGAGGCCGAAATCGTCAATGTCACGAAGGTTTTCGAACAGTTTTGGCCTTCCAGCCTTTTCGTCTGTCCGACGTTCCAAGACGGCTCAATAGGCCCCCAAGAGCGCCCCAAGACGGCCCAAGAGGGCCCCAAGACGGCCCCAGAGTCGCCCAAGACAGCCCAACAGAGCCCCAAGACGGCCCCAAGATGCGCCCAAGAGGGGGACCACGACTCCAAAATTCGACCCTCCCGCTTGAAGAGTGCCCCAGGAGGCCCCAAGGAGCCCCCAAGAGGCCCCAGGAGGCCCCCAAGAGGCACCCAGGAGGCCCAAACGAGGCCTAAAGAGGCCACAAAACAGCCCCGAGGAGGCCCCACAACGGTCCCAAAACGGCGACCGAGAAGCTGCGAAACTGCCTTCACGACGTCCCCGACAGGCCAACCACGAGATCCAAACCAACACCCATGAGGCCTCTGACCCACCACCCAGGGCACTGTGGCGGGAGCAGTGACAGCACTTGTGCACAGCATGTTCCGGCGGGAGTCTTCCGGAACACGCTGCAGGAGGAGGAGGAGGAAGATCAGGAGGAGAGAGCTGGAGTGGGAGGAGAAGGAGGGGGACGAGGAGGAGGAAGAGGCCTCCAAGACAGCTCCAAGATAGCCGAAGAGGCTTCCAAGAGGGCCCTGGGCGGCCCACGAGGGCCCCAAGGCGGTGCCTGAGGCGCCCAAGAAGGCCCGAGAGGGCCCCCAGACGGCCCCAAGAGAGGCCCAAGAAGGGAAACACGAACTGGGAATCCGAGCTCTCTACCCCGAGAGGTTCTCGGGAAGTCCCAAGAGGCCCCCAATCGGATCCAAGAGGCCCCCAAGAAAATCCCAAGAGGGCCGACGAGGTTCCAAGAGATCTCCCAAGGTGGCCCCAAGAGGCACAACTCATCGTTTTACGATTGGGCTTTAACGGGTTTTATTTTTGTCGGCCTTTTGGCATCCCGATGCTCCAAGACGGCCCAAGAGGCTTCCAATGCCGCTCCAATATAGAGGAAGAGGCCTCCAAGAGGGCCCCAAAACGGCCCGCGAGGGCCCCGAGACGGTGCTTGAGGCGCCCAAGACGGCCCGAGAGGGCCCCAAGAGCCCCAAGAGAGGCCCAAGAAGGGGAACGCGACCCAACAGCAGAGCGTTCCCCCCAAAAGGCCCACAGGAGGCCGCAAGAGGACCCCAAAAGCTTCCCGAGGGCCTCAAAGGCTTCAAGGAGACGTCCAAGAGGTTTTAATAGCCCAAGATTGCCCTCGATGCGTCAAAACTGCTTCCAGGAGGCCCCCGGGAGGCTTCCGGATTGCCTCAATCCGGCCGCAGGTGGCCTCAAGTCGGGCCCCCACGCAGCCAAGACGGCCAATGGCGGCTTCAGATTGCAGAACCGATGCCGCCAAGGGACCCTCAGACGCCCCCCCCAAGAGGCACCCACGAGGCGCCTCCAACAGCCAGTTGACGAAGCATGCGGAACACCCCAGAAGCTCCTCAGATGCCGTCGCGCGCCGGTGCTTGATGGCGTTGTCCAAGATTGTCCAGCGCCCCCCCGGCCTGGGCTAGAACCTGAGCGCGCGCGAAGCGCGCGCGATGGTTCTAGTGTATATATATAAATATATATAATGAACTGTTCTATTCCACAAGCGCTACCCTGATGCAGGACGACTGCGTTGGATGGTTGTCTTTTGCTGTGGGAGTACTACACTAGTACTACACTGGATGGGGAGCAAATGCGATTGACAACATACGGATTACGAGTATAAGTACGAGTATGAATTTGATGATGACGACGATGATTATGTTTGTTGATGATGGTGTTGATAATGATGTTAGCCATGATGAGACTAATGACGATGATAGTGGTACTGATGTTGATGATACGGATGGTGACGATGATGATGATGATGATGATGATGATGATGATGATGCTAATGCTGGTGATGACTGTCCTGATGACATGGTGAAGATGCAGACACGTATGCAGATGAAGATGTTGTTGATGCTGACGGCGACGATGATGGTGCTGTTGATTACGGTGATGTTGTTGATGATGATGCTGCTGGTGATGATGATGATTGCGATGCAGATGATGATGCTGATAATGATGATGACGATGATGCTGCTGTTGATGATGATGGCGACGATGATGATGATGATGATTATGATGATGGTCATGCTGGTGATGATGATGCTGATGCCGATGCGGATGCGGATGCCGATGCCGCTGATATTTTTTGTGTTTGATGATAATGGTGATGACGATGATGATGGTGATCATTTTTTGATGATGCAGATGATGTTGATGATGCTGATGATGCTGATGCTGATGCTGCTGATGATGATGATGATGACGATGACGATGACGATGATGCTGCTGCTGCTGATGATGATGATAATGATGATGAGTCTGATGATGATGATGATGATGATGATGATGATGATGATGATGATGATGATGATGATGATGGAGTAGAAGAGGATGCGGATTATATTAGCTTAGCCTAGCCTAGCCTAGCTTAGCTTAGCTTAACTTAGCGCAGCGCAGCATTAGCATAGCATAGCATAGCATAGCATAGCATAGCATATCATAGCATATCATATCATAGCATAGCATATCATAGCGTAGCATAGCATAGCATGGCGCAGCATAGCCTAGCGCAGCATAGCATAGCATAGCATAGCACAGCATATAATAGCATATCATAGCATAGCATAGCACAGCATATAATAGCATAGCATAGCATAGCTTAGCTTAGCACAGCACAGCGCAGCATAGCATAGCATAGCAGAGCATAGCATAGCATAGCATAGCATAGCGCAGCATAGCATAGCATAGCATAGATGCTCCACCTCCTAGGTAGGGTCGCACTGGGATAATTAGGATGAGTAGAAATGCGGGCACGGGGGGATTGAGGGGGGACATCTTCTGCGTGGATGGAAGGAGCATGTCTTGTGCACTCAGGGTCGATCCCCAGGATCCAAGCAGACGTCACCAGCAGGCTCGGGTTCGCTTTTCGCCCGACCGTAGCCGTCTTGGCTCACGCCACCCTGGTTCAAGCTGGCGACATGCCAGGCCCTCCATAACCTGATCCCCGTGGGCCTGCCCGCACCCCATGGGGCGCGCATGCCACTGGGCGCTCTGCCTGCTGGCGGAGCGGGCCGCGTCCCTGGCGCTCGACGCCGCAAGCTCGCCACGGGAGGCCGAGGTGGACAGCTCGGAGGAGCGGCTGCCAGTGGTCGACGGGGACGGGCGGGAAGTTCTTCCCACAGCCGAGGAGCCCCTGGCCCGACCAGCCACGGCGGAGATGGCTTTGGATGCGACGAGGTCGCGGCACAGGGACCTCCTCGAACACCTCGCGGCCCTCCAGGCGAACGCGACGTTCAGCCCCGCACAGTACCAGGAGTTCATCGATTTCTTTCCTGTCACGAGGTTCAACAATCTCGACCCTTTTCACCGGTACACGGATGAGGCCGGCAGACATGATTTCCCCGCGTCGACGGCCACCCGATTGCCAGGTGTAATGGACCGGTTCGACTGGACCATCATGGGAGGAGAGCGGTTCGAGCACAAGAAGGTCTCCGACCCGCATACAGTATGGATTGGTTCGTCTTTGCTGGGCATGGTGATGAAGGAAATGCAGAAGTGGGACCCTAACAGGACCGACCGAGTGCTGGTAATGAACGGCGATGCCTGGCTTTCTGAGGTTTTTGGACCTCCTGGTCGAAATCCCAATGAGTTCGAGCCGGTGGACCAGCGAGTTGTAGAGGTTTACAACCAGCGGCGGGAAAAGATCAGGCCGCGGGTTGAGGAAAAGGTCAGGCAGTTGCGGAATTACTTCGGTCGCATCTTCTTCGAGGCCAAGGACATGGACGTGCAGGGCGTGGAGACAATGCCGATCGGATTTACCGAATTCTTCCTTCGCAACGGCGTTGCCGAGCATGCGGCGGCTGCTGTCGCGAGCGCGAGTCTCGAGAACAAGCCAGGGGACGTGAAGGGTTCGTTCAGCTTCTACCACGACCTGGCCAATTGCCAGAGGGGCTGGGGGGAGGGGCAGTGGCTGAGGCTCCAGGCAAAGGAGTGGAGCAGAACCGCTGCCGCGCGGGCCGGCGGAGTGGACTCGGACCCGGTCGAGCCCGCAGACTGGTGGAGCACGATCGCCCGGTTCAAGTTCTTGATGACGCCCAACGGTTGTGGAGTGCAGACCCCTAAGCAGACCGAGGCATTGTGGGTGCTCACGGTCCCCCTTGCCCGCCGCGGCCCGTACAGCGCCTACGACGACCTGGTCCGCTATGGCTTCCCGATGGTGGTGGTTGACGAGTGGGACGAGATCACGCCGTCGAACGTCAGGGACTGGTGGGCGCGCTTGTCGCCCCGACTGGTGAGCTTCCGCGAGAACTGCCTGACCAGCGAGGCGTACTGGCGGTTCTTCACCGGGCAGGTCACCCACTGCAAATAGGACGATTCTGCGACGCACAAAAGCGTCCCTTCGCCGTAGTGACTTTGGGTGCGGCCCACGAGTGTCCCCCGAGCACGGGCTTGCGCGCCCAGATTTCGGCCCCCTAAAACCGCGCACCAAAGGTCGCTCTTGACTAGGGTCACTCTTGCATGTAGGCGACAGACTACGTGCACGCACTGTTACAAATGTTCTTGGGAACGTCCGCGCGTGGTGGCAGGACGAGCGCGCCAGCTCGGCTGGCGCGTAACATGTTCGAGCGGCCGCCATGACATAAGGTTGTGTCCTCGTCCGGCTGAAGACACCTCGTCGGGGTTGGCTTGCCAGACGAGCGACTCCCATGGCAAGGGCAGCTGTTCTTTCTGAAACTAGTGGCTGGGGCCCCATATTCGCCTATCCTGTATGCCATCGGTGCCTTTCCCATATAAGGTTTGGGGCTTGGCCTCCCAGGTCCTTTGGGCTAGGGGCTGATCTGTCCCCTGAGCTCGTGGCTGGTGTCCCGAATGAGGCCCTCTCGTGAATAAAAGTAGCCTTTCTTCCGAAGCTCAGGTGTTGGGGAAGAGGAGGAGGAGGAGGATCAGGACGAGCAGGAGGAGGAAGAGGAGCAGGATGAGCAGGAGGAGGAGGGGGACCAGTGTAAACCCAAGACGCATGAAAGATGTTGCCATCAACCCTCCTTCCAAGTACCCTCTGCATAGGTCCCTGCAATAATCTATGTTTAAGAGCTTCGCCCCCTGCCGCCAGCCCCTCTCTACCATCATGGGATATATCAAAGTCGCGTCGGTGCGTTTCGGCGCTGCTTGGCGCATCTGGGAACATCATGCGGGGGCGGATTCCTCGTTGGCGTTATCGAAGACGCCTACGTCGAATCACCGCCGCCCCCTGCCTTTTGAAGTCGCCCATGTGGTCGAGCGTTGTGGCAAGAGCTCTGCCAAGCTATCGGACCATGCGTTCCCCCAACCGTTGTGGAAACCCTTCGGGGAAAGTTTGGGGGAGGATGGCGGGTAAGATCAAGAGGAGCAGGAGGAGGAGGAGGAGGAAGAAGAGGAGGAGGAGGAGGAGGAGGAGGAGGAAGAGGAGGGTGCATCTTGGGAGCCTCTTGGGGCACTCTTGGGACCTCCTGGGAGCTTCCAGGGAGCTTCTTGAGGGCATCTTGAGGGCCTCCTTGGGCCCTTGGGGGCCTTTGTGGGTTTCTCGGGGGCCTGTCTAGGGCCCAGCACGCCGAGCACCCCTGTGGCAAGCCAACAGGGGGCGGCGGATTATGGTGGCGTTCGGCCCATCCCACCACCGTGCCTGGGTTGTGGGTCTGAGGCCTTTTGTATATGTGTTGGGGTGTCGTGGGGAGCCTCTCGGTGGCTTCTTGGAGGCGGTTTGGGCGCCTCTTGGGGGCTTCTTGGGGCCTCCTAGGGTATCCTCTGGGCCTCTTTTCTTGCAGGACTCTTGGGCGCGTCGTGGGCGCCTCTTGGGGCCTCTTAGCGCCCTCTAGGGGGTTCCTGGGGGCTGCTCGGGGCACATATAGAATTGTCGGTTCGTAGTCCCCTGTTTGGGCCCCTCTTGGAGCCGTCTTGGGGCCCTTCTGGGCCGTCTTGAGCGCTTCTTGGGCCATCTTGGAGCCCTCTTGGGCCGTCTTGGGGCCCTCTTGGATGCCTGTTGGGCTGTTTTGGGGCGGTCTTGGGAGCTTCGTGAGCCGTCTTGGAACGTCGGAAGGCCGAAAATGCAAGAAGGCCAACATCCTTCAAATACCTGCGTGTAATCGATCACTTTGGCCTCTTGGGGCTCTCTCGTGAGGCCTCTTGAGTCAATGCACTCCTCTCCGCACCACCATCCTACTGCCGCTGCCTGCGCTCCTTTGCACTGACATGTACTGTACCTTTCCGACAGCAGCTACATTTGGCTTAGAGTATCGGAAAAGGAGCGAGCCTGCTTTCGCGCGCGTCGGCCGGCGGGCTGGCCTCCTCACCTCAGGGATACTTCTATAGTCAGCTGAACGGAACACTCCATCCTTGCCATGGCTCCGGCGAGCCCCCTGATCTTGAGACAGCATTGGAACACAACGCAGGGATTATCAATGTCCAGGCAAAAAGCTGGTTATCAGCCGAAACGACGGCTCAGCCGTTGGCTTCGCACTCGGGGAAGTACGACGACAATATTGTCCCAAGCGCATTATCAAGAAAGGCGCCTCTAGGGGGCGTGCCTCTTTCTTTCATTTTTCCCAGAAGGCAAGCATTGGAATATGTGTTTGATTTGACAGAGGGAGATTCCCCTGTAGATAACCAGAAGAAGACAAGAGTTCAGACGTTAGGCGGAGAGCATGGATAAGCCAGCGTTTCTGTCGGAAGGCCATATGAAGTCGCATCAGCGCATTCAAGCCCGAGAACATCAGTCAACTCGACCCATGGAGAGGAGAGCTCGCCAGGACATGTTCCCACCCGCTCAGCGGGTGGAGAGCATCGCGACGAGGAACAAATTACACAGTTTGTGATGAATGGACAGGGCGAATACGAAAGCGATGGACAGTCAGAAGAAGAGAGCTCGCATTCTATGGAAAAGAACGAAGAATATGCCCAATTTCATACGCCGCCTGGTCCATCTTATCATTTCAAGCCTCTCCAGAACGCATCTGACGGGCTCGCCTCAGGCGTAGACCTGTCGGATACCGAGGCAATGGATAACGCGCCGGCTGAGGACCTTCGGAAGGCTATCCTTGATTCGGGCGACGATCTCGAGGAAGATAGAAGCTCCGAAAGCGGGAGAGTTGGCCACGGACGGGAGAGTTCCTCGGCTCAGCCGGTAGAAAACTCGCCCGACTTCACGCGTCCAGCTCGGCACGCGAGAGAACCGACCGGCGCGACTCCACTCCCGAAGACAAAGAAAACCAAGAGCGATACTGATGATTTCAATCCTCCACCGGCGTCGAAGGGTTTCCATCGACAAAGCTTCATGAGCTAACTATGCAAGACGAAAGGGATGAGCAAACGCAGAGACAACACGGCGCTCTTCGGAACAAGGGGTCAAGAACGAGGGGGCAACATACGCCGACATCCAGCAGGGGTCGTGCAGAAGGCTCCAAGAGCCGGACGTTCCAGCTCCAGAGGATTTGACGCCCTTGAGTCACCTCGTCCGTCGTCGGACAGGACCGCCGGCGGTTTTTCTATCCGGGGCAGCTGCTGGAACGCGGGCCCCAGATGCCCGTCTCAGGCGGAAACTCATTGCCAAGGGAAGGCGCGCAAACCAGGGGGGCCGTGTCGCCGACCTGTGTGTGCACAGCGTTCGAAGGTGGCTTATAGTGGCTCTGCGAAGAATGCATCGCGCTGGAGGAACATAGCTGCCGTCGCATAGCCTTTCAAGAGTGGGGGCGAAAACAGAAACAGGATAGAGAACAGCTGAGGGCAGCAAGAGCACATATGCAACATATTCTACTTCAGGCACATGCGGATAAGACGGCCGCCGAAGAAGCCAACCGCAAGCTCGCTGGATCCGAGGCAGAGAAGAGGGCAACGGCAGAAAGAGCTGAAAAGGAAAATGCTTCCGTTGCAGAAGGCGCGCAGAAACGAATGCTGCAAGCGGAAGCGGAAATAGCAGGGATTGCGGACGTGGCTTAGCGGCGTCTCGAAAAGGAAGAATAGCGATAGATTCAGAGTGCGGCCGAACAAATGATTTCATCGTCCCAACTTCAGGCCGATTGAGAGCGAGTTGAATCACAAATGATAGCTGATGCAGCCAGACGGGAAGGAGAGAGAGAGAGAGAGAGAGAGAGAGAGAGAGAGAGAGAGAGAGAGTGAGTGGGCAGACAAACCATCGCAAGTTATAGGATCTCTCCGAGAAGCAAGGTGACAATTTTGATCATAGTCCATCGATCTCCGAGGAGCTCCCCTTCCCCCGTATTTTAACGCTGACTTGCATTATTCTGTCCTCCCGGACTTGGGGTGCTCGCTCGATGCCAACGTTGAAATTTAGGGGGCGGGGGCGTTTCGTCGAGGTGGCGTCGCAATGTAGGCGCGGCCGTGCGCGGCCAGGAGCAACTTGCAACATCTCGTCGTCCCACCGATGGAAGCACCGACTTTTCTATGACTCGAAGTGCACGGCATCTAACAATCATGCACCTCGTCAGCCCCAGTTCCCAGCACTCGAAGTCCTTGTCGCCAGCGCTGCGCCGGGCGTACTCCAGCAAGAAGCGCTTCCTGGTTCTGGGGGTCAGCGGCCCCTCGGGGCGCAGGAGCGCAGCGCAGACCAAGTTCGACAATTCTATCGAGGCGCTGCCTTTTCCGAAGCGCTCGCCAGACATCAGCCCGTTTAATTGCGGCTTCTGGGGTTTCGTCAACCGCCGCCTCCGCAAGCAGCAGGAGGCCCTCGTGCTCGCCTGGTAAGAAGAAAACCAGGGCCCATTTCGCGGCGCGCCTCAGGCGGGCTCTCCAGCGCGTGCCCGAGGCCATCTTTACTCCTCCGGTGAAGTCCATGGGCCGGCGCTGCAAGGCCCTCCAGCGCGTAAAGGGGAAAGACTTCGAGGAGCGATGGCCCGCGCGCCCCGCGCGGCTGCCGACGCCGCGAACACGCGGCCTTCCGCCGGCGGCCCGCCGCCCAGGACTCGGGGAACATGCGAAGTTCATGCCCAGTCGCCGCGGCGGGGCGCCGGGACTTCGGGCCAGCCGCCCACCAGCCGTACGAGTGTAATTTCTTGAGTTGTATTTTCCCCGACTGGCAGCCGATCTTGACGCGCGCTCGCTTTGGCTTTCCCGGAGTAAACATCCTGTCGCAGGGCCCCCTTGCCCATCTACGCGCTGGCGTGCTCAGCCGAGGTCTGTCGGCTCATCCGCGGTGGGCGCCCGACGGGCATGAGTTGGTGCGGAGCGACGTTGACCTCTTGTCAGCTATTTCCAGGCCCGCGCCAGGGCCGCGCTCGAGCTGCGCCTGGAGCTCGAGCGGCCGCCCCTGGGCCGCGCGGCGGACTTGCGCGGGCTCGGCGCGGCAGGCTCTGCCTGGGCGATGCCGGCGCGTGGCCTGCTCAGAGCAGCGGGCGGCGACAGGGCGGCCCCGCGCCCGCCGCGCTTGCATTTTCCTTTTTTGAAAACGCAAGTGCTATTTGAATACCAATTTGAATACCTATTTGAGTACCTATATGAAAACTGCAGGTATATGTGGATTTGCATTTGCTACGCGCGAATAGTGGAGTTAAAACGAATGTATTTTCTTTCTTTCTACTTCCAAGTTTCAAATCGGTTCCCCCCATGCAATCGAGGTTTTCAAATAGGTATTCAAATAGGTATTCAAACAGTGTTCCAATGTACTGGGAGTATTCAAATAGGCCAGATGCAGGCGCCGCGCGCGCCCCGCCACCCCGTCGTCGCCTGGCGCGCCCTGCCCCGCTGCGCGG